GTAGGCGCGGGAGCTGCAGGCTTGGGAGCAGGGGCGGTTTTTGGTTTGTACTTGGTCTTCACTTCGGCAGCATCGTGGAATTCCTTGATCTTGGCTTTGCGGATATCGTCCAACCCATCAAGGTGAGCATTCATGATGCGATCTCCCATGATTTTCCAGAGCGTGCCCAGTGCCTCGGCACCAGCGGATCGCTGTACTTCTTGTGACTCTGTGAGGAGCTTTGTAGAAGCCTCTGCGATGGCTTTGGCTTGTTCTGGTGTTGGTGCTTCGCGAGTATTCTTTAAACATCGGATCAGGAACCTAGAGGATTCTAGCTTGACCTGAGGGTTCTTGTGCTTCAGAAACTCTAGAATCTCTTCAAGACACTCCTGAAAACTTGTCGAAGCAAAAGATGCATCAAGGGCGGCTCCAATGGCATCGGTGACAGTCTGTTTCTTTTCCTTCAATCGTTCCATCATAGCGTTCATTACATCCTTGCGGTACTTGGCGAAACTCTTCTTCAAACCCTTTGCAAGTAGCTCAACGCAGTTGGCGGCTGTGATGACTACAGCAATATTTGCGTCTTTCATACTCTTTGCAAACCCACGTATCAATTCGTCAAAGGGGCCCTCGGCGATGCGAGGGTGGTCGAGCGCCTTCTGAACCTCGTCGAGTGTTTCTTTTCGATCTTTCCATTTGGACGATGCTAGCTTCTCGGAGAAATCCTTGGGTATCTTTGCGAATACATCGACGGCCTCGTACTCGGGCTCCAGATCAATGGCAGCGTCTTCTTCCTCCTCTTCCTCCTCGTCCCCGCCTGGACCTGCGGCTGCTGCTTCTTTTGCGGCCTGTTGTGAACGGAGTAGTCGCTCTTGTTTTGGCGGAGGCTCGTCTTTGACCTTTTCGAAGAGTTTGTCGAGATCCTGCTGCTGCACGGGCTTCAAATCGTTCCAGAAAAGTGGTTTCATTGCTTCTTTGAGCCAGCGGTAAAGCTCGACTGTCAATTCCTGCGCCTTCGCGCGAACATTCTTATCCGCGTGACCGTATACTTTGGGGAGGGATTTAAGGACAGACTTGGGTTCCATGGTCTTGCAGCCATAGGCATGGTACATTTGTGTCAACGCTTCTAATGTCGCAGCAATAACCTTGGGTTGCTTGTGTGCTAGTATAGGAAGGAGCTCCTCGATGACTGGGTCTGGCTTGTCCGTCTCAATATACAACATCAGCGCCTCGAGTGCCTTTTGCTTTGCTGCTGGTCGTGTTGACGGTAGTCCCTTTTCAGCGATTGTAGCGATGGTGATGTTCCGCGTCCTAGGCACCAAGTCAGCAACAGCGTCTTGTATAAGGGCACGCGACATGTTACCGTGTGCAGCCCTGTTGGCCGGCTATGTCAAGGAAGGCGCATAGCGCACCAAGACCTTCCTGCTGTGCGGCGACGTTGGAGTCGCCCACCACGCCCTTCCATATGCTCGCATCGTTTATGAACTGGCGCACTACCGGGTCGGACTCGCTGGCGGCTAGACTGAATTCTTTGGCGGCGGCTTCGTAGCCCTCTTTCCGTACCTTCCAGTTCTTGTGTACAAAGCGATCGGGCAGCGGCAGCTTGCTGAAATCTTCCTCGTCGGCCATGATGTGCGATTATTGTTTATGTGCGTGTACTGTGTGCGTGTGTGTTTGTGTATGAGGGAAATGGGGAGAAGACAAGGGGGAGAGACTATTAGACGAGTCAGTCGCAAGCCTGGACAAAGCGAGAGCTGGAGAAGGAGAAAGAGTGCGCGTGGATGCGCATTGGGAGAGGGCCAGGTGCGGATAGATAGTTGCGCAGCGGCCCAGGACAGCGTCGGGAAAAAAGGAGCGGCGGCCGACGACGTACCGGATGATGTCAGTGGGACCCAAGAGGGGGATTGTTTGGGCGAATGTGGTGGGGAGATTGTGGTCTGGTGCAGCAACAGCAGAGACGTGTGTCGTGGTCCAAGTGGTGTCTGGCTCTGATGTAAATCGCATGTGCATTGGGCGTTGATCCAGCAACACGTCTTTCCCACTGGCGGCCACCCCCTGCACTCTCGCCCTCAGCAGCCCAGGTGGTATACACACCGCCGCCCACCACCCGCCGCCGTGTTCTGCCCACATACTACTACCCACTATACACGCACACGCCCATCCCTCCCCCCAATTCACACCCCCTTCCCTTTGTGGCGGCCTGCGCCATCTCTGTGCCCACTCCCGCCCTACGCCCAAGCACACGCACAAACCCACCCCGCCTGGCCTTTGTTCCCTGCTCACCGCCGACGCCGTTCCCCCGCGCCCACCAACACCCTCCGCACCCACGGCCCTGACCCAGCCCAACCAGCGGCACAGTAGATGGTGGGCTTCTGCGACGGCCGCGTTTGAGCTAGTCTTTTCGCCATGAGCGCGATACTTACAGACCGCCAAGCAGAGGAGTTGTGAGTGTTGGCACTGGCCCATGTACAACCGCCCACAACTGACAGCACCCCCAGGCACAAGGCCATTGTCGCCTATCTGGGCGTCATAAATGCGCCAAGGACCGCAGAGGCTTTCCGCGAGGAAGCCGGCATTTCGGACAATTTCGACGAGACCACGCGGAAAAAGTATGAGGGGCTGCTCGAGAAGAAGTGGACGAGCGTAGTCCGCTTGCAGAAGAAGGTAGCTGTGCGCTAGTCTGCTCTCTGGAGTCTCATGCTCATCTTTTGCAGGTCCTGGAACTTGAGCAGCGCAACCAGAGCCTCCAGAGCGAACTCGACTCCACAACTCCCACCTCGCTTCTCCGAAGAAATCAGGACCCCACCAGCTGGCTGCCACGAGCCCCGGCACGACACACGCTCCAATCGCATCGCTCCCCGATAACATGCGTGGCCTTCCACCCCATCTTCTCCTCACTTGCATCAGGCTCAGAAGACACGACCATCAAAATCTGGGACTGGGAATTGGGAGAGCTCGAAAGGACAGTCAAGGGGCACACAAAGGGCGTGCTCGACGTTGACTTTGGTGGCCCAAGAGGTGGTACACTACTGGCATCTTGTTCTAGCGACCTGACCATCAAACTCTGGGACCCCTCGGACGAGTACAAGAATATCCGCACCCTCCCAGGCCATGACCACTCCGTCTCTGCCATTCGATTCATACCCAGCGGCGCAGCAGGCTCGCCGTCGTCTGGCAACCTGCTTGTTTCCGCGTCCCGAGATAAGACATTGCGGATATGGGACGTCACAACAGGATATTGCGTCAAGACGATTAGAGGACATGTCGACTGGGTACGCGATGTAGCGCCAAGTTTCGACGGACGATGGCTATTATCTGCGGGTAACGATCAGACCGCTCGGCTGTGGGATGCCGGCTCGGGCGAACCGAAATGTACCTTCATAGGTCACGACCATGTAATCGAATGCGTCACCATAGCACCTCCAGTGTCGTACGCCAATCTTGCCTCTCTTGCTGGACTCAAAAAGCCACCGCCACTGAGCAGCTCAGCCGAGTACATAGCAACCGGATCGAGAGACAAGACGATAAAGATATGGGACGGACGAGGAACTCTGATCAAAACACTGACAGGCCACGACAACTGGATACGATCCCTAGTCTTCCATCCTGGTGGAAAGTATTTGCTATCGGCTAGCGACGATAAGACCATCCGGTGCTGGGATCTCACGCAAGAAGGCCGATGTGTCAAGACAGTCACTGACGCACACGGCCACTTTGTCAGCTGCATGCGATGGGCACCCAATGTTGTCAAGGATGTACCTGCCAATGGAGATGCCCCCAATGGCACAGCAAATGGTACCAGCAAGAAGAATGAGGACGCCACAAAGGGCATACGGTGCGTGATTGCGACGGGATGCGTGGACCTCAATGTTCGCATCTTTGCCTCATGAAAGAAGACGGCATTGTTTGCTGTTGAATGCAGCTTAATCAACTTCCTGTGCTTTCCATTTCCAAAGTTGGATGTACAGACGGACGTCACGCCGCCTTTGTACGCGCGATGCTTAATGACTCTCAAATCTTACGATACGACTTCATGTACATACCCGAGTTACCAGATAGCATCTTCCCGCGTCGTGAGATGGCGTTCGTGGGTCCAAGGACATGAACATGGGGTAGACGTGAGTGTGCGAAGAAGGAATGGTGGAGGAACGAGGAGATATGCACTTAGTATGCCATATTAGCTCAGAATGCGATCTACTTCTGCCTCGAATTGTGTCTCTTTTGCTCCGACGCATTTGACTGCGTTCCTTCCCAAAGTGTGCACGAGCCAGTCTTGCTTACGTACAGTGCATGTGCTGTTGGCGTGGTGTTTGCTTAGTCACCGACGCGCTAGCGGAGCGGAAAATTTAGCTCCAACCTCCGAGAGCTACAACTTTTCTCAATCCGCCTGCAACCTCTCTTCCACACACATTCCTATCGCTTCACTCAGCGATGGCTACCAACACTGCGATACAATAACTGTCGCTTGTGCACGATTCTTGCTAACCAGACTATCTAACAATTCCGCCACCAGAGTGCGCTGGCTTTGGTACGTATTTGCACTCCTTTTTCATTTCATCCTGCATCTTCATGATGAATCACAAAGCCAATTAAACTAGAGTCTTTGACCCTACGGGGAATGAAACCTAAACTTGCACGTCAGTCTGAACGCGACTAGCTTAACCTATACTTTTTGCATTCGCAGCGAATGCGTATGGCTAACCAACAACAGAAGCCTGTCTGCCAACAAGCAGCTAACACAATGCGACTACTGTGGGCATAGCTATTCGCTTGTTTGCGCAGTACCGCGCAAATCAGGATCTGCCCTTTAGGCTCTCTCTGGTACGTTCTTTCTCTTCATACTACCCAATCGTTCCAATGATGATCATTGTGCTTCGGCACGCTGGAAATTACCGACCAAGGCTTCTGCCTGTGCCGATAAACTATGGCTGTTTCTGATTATTCTTTCACTCGAAAATTCAACTCATTCCGCTATTTGCATAATCTTTTTGCTAACTGGAATGTTGCGCAGACTAGTCGGTATGCATCACCCTTCCCTTCAAACGCCCTATTCAATGATGATACGGCACTGGGCTCCGACAATTCTTGACGGATACGCCTTTTATGGCAGGCCTCAGAAACCTCGCCGAACTGATTGCTTCTCAATGTCTTACATGGCTGTACGAACAAAATTGGGCATTGGCTAATGCTCTAATAGTCTATCTTCAATGAGATGACAGAGCAGGTAACTGGTAAGCGTACTCTGTTCTTGTTAATTCCTGCGAAATGATGAACACTTGATGACGAGTCCGACGGGTTCGCCCGGTGAAGACTTAAATCAAAATATATCCATTCATGTCAACTGATCCACACTCGCGTCTTCTCAATTAATTATGTTGTTTTTACCGACGCATTTACTGACATGATCCCAGATATTATATCCTCATAATGATCACGGTACGCTCATCGTCCACACTCCCTTCTGCAATGATGAAACGACACAAACAAAGACAAGCATATGTCCAAGCTCCGGCGACGACGAGAACCGTCACGTCTGATCCGCAGTCACAACCTGCTTGTTAAATATCATGTCGATTAGAATTAGCAACTGATGGGTTGCATAGGATCTTGCCATACTTGCAAGCATGAACTTTAGAATATGGTATGTCGGTCCTTGTCTTTGCCCCTTTCCCTCAAAAGATGAACATTCAATTTATCACGACGGTCTACCGAGCTACGGCAATGGTGATAACTGCCTGTGACAGGGCATGAGTCTGATCAGCACCTTTTACTTGATGATTTGCTTCACAATCTTCAAACAGCAGATGCTGACTATCTGAACAGAACTTTATGTCCTTCACTATGATACCAGCACTTCTTGTGCCACATAGGCAACGATGCACAATTTATGTTGCAAACAGGTTTGGAGAAGATTCTATCATTCATATTTCTTGTCCCTTGCTGGGGTAGCCAATGAGTGGACCATTTCCACTGCTAGTCCTGCAAATCAAATCGCTGATGTCTTACACGTCCCCTCGAGGCTGCGTCAACCTTTTTCCCTCCGATTTTACAAGTAGTTCAATACAATCCAATCGTAATGTCTCCACGAATTCTTGCCGTCAGATGAATTTCCGCTTCCAGATCCAACTTGATACCAATCAACAAAGCAGCGTCCTTTTGCTTTCCGTTGTCGTCTACGGGTCCTTTGATGATGTTGCCTGCCGGGCGGTTGAGTGTGGCGGAGGACGGGACGGGACCGACGTTGGCAGAGACCTTGCGGCCGCCGGATGCTTGACCATCGCTCTCAGAGTCGGAGCCGTAGCCTGTTGGGCGGATAGTGGATTCCCTGACGCCGGTTAGCACATGCGGAATACCCTGGTCATGATGCTGCTTACATGGTAGACATGTTGGGTTTGAAGTGTAGAGTTGGGGAGAGTGGTGTTGGTATTAAGGATTATGCAGGACTCTCAGGTTCGATGGGCTCCAGGCCGTTTGTCGAATGAATGTAGAATGGGAGAAGGCGGTGCAGGTCAACTGTACTGGCCGTTAATGAGTGGCATATGTTTGCCTTATATACGGGGTATGTACTGAGGCCTCTGACTACCACAAGCAGCTCTCCTATCTTCTGCTGCACTACTTTGAGTTGAGGCCCCGAAACCGCTTGTGCGGCACTCCCTGCGTTTGAGATGGGCTACTATCGTTCGAGTCTCGTACTAGCATGATTGCACAAACGAGTCTCTGCATCCAGACGCGAAGATCGACAGCGGTTCCATGAGCAGTCTGGGCTCGTGTCATGCCATGGTTGTGGCGCGTGTAAAGCTGAAACATACAAGGGGTTGTAAGGGTCCAACGTACGCGTCTCAGCCGGCACATTGTTATTCCTCATCAGACGAGCATCAGATCATGGTAGTCGCGAGGCAATATACGCTAAGCAGTAGCAATAGCATGCATAGACCATGCTGATTGCGGTTCACTAGCCATGGCGAATGTGCCAGGCCCCCACGCTCTACTCCGCCCCAAACACCGCCGACTGGACGCACAACGTCCAAGATGGTCCTCTCGATTCTCATAGCAACGATTACAGCCCCAGGCCTACTTGGCTCACAGGAAGCAATACGCCAGTCCCAATCCAAAGAAAAAAGGGAAGAGCATCGCGCTCGTCGTTGCAATCTCATCGCAACATGCGTCAAGTCATCCAATCGCAGCCGAGAAATCAACGGGCGACAGGTCGTTCTGAGGAACGGAAAACTATGGATTGATACTGGAACCGAAGATGGAAGCCCGCTTGGACACCCATATGCTGGGTATTACTTGCCTTATCCGGACACAAAATACGAAGGCCTTGTCACAACCATCACTGATGTTGCTCCGATTATGAATTGGGTTTATATTGACAAAGATACTTGCGAAGTCAAGTATGGTGTACGCGCAGACGCACAACCTAACCTCACCGGGCCATTTGATTGTACACGCCAAGATCGCCGGCTCACATTCGATGGCTGGGAGGGGTGGTGTGCAGTAGAACAAGCGCCTGGTCTATGGGGATTGTACTTTGACCTCAACGACGATGGACTGAAATCAAAGCTCGAGCCTGGAACAAGGGTGTTGGAGATTGAGTTGAGTCGAAAGGAAAAGAGGTTCCAAAAGGAGACGAATGCACGACAGCAAGACCAAACAACAACAAGAACTGTTGATACAAAGGAAGAGGCGCCGGTAGACCAGCCGCTTGCTCCAGAGCCATTGGTACCAAATCCTGGTGTGGGAGGTGAGAAGAGATCGGAAGAGGGTGCTCAAGAATCGTACAAGTACAGGCCGATGAAGATTCCAAAGTCGATCTTTGAGAACCCGCCCCCTATGATAGAATCCTTGGTATTCAGAGCACCCTCGCCACCGCCAGCGTACACTCCAGCGACAAGGGAAGAGCCTGAGAATGCGGCAGAAACAAACAAGCCCGAAACAGCAAAGAGTGAGGAGCCAATTGCTGGTCCCGTCATTAACATCCAAGATACCAATGTGCCAGATGTCGACGATCAGCAAGTCACGGGCCAGTCTGTTTCCGAGCCAGAACAACCCCAATCGACACCAGATAACACAGTTCGGGCGCCTCCTATCGAGACAGAATCTTCTCCCCTAGTGTCACAGTCCCCGCCTACAAAAGAGAGTCGCACTACGCCTAAACTTAATAGAAACAGCGGGTCACGAGCTTTGGCACAAGCCCTGAAATTTGAAGCCATGGCAGCAGCACAAAATTCAAAAGACGAATTACGGGGACGATCAAATGAACGTAGATCGCGTGTTAATAGCAACACGTCTTCCATGTATTCAAATGATGGCGAGGTATTGGAAGAGGCAGTAGCTGTCAGTGTACGACCTCAGCCATCTCCCACCCCAGCACCTCTGGCTCTGGCGGTATCGAAAACGAAGCAGGCATTGGCATTGGCAATGCGACCTCAACAACCAGTAGTAGAGAGACCTGCACCGAATCCATCCATCGAACGGCCAATAACGCCTCCACGCCAGCGGGCACTGTCTGTAAGGGAAGACCCGGCGGTGTCTGGTCCCGTGAGAGCATCTTCTTCACAGCGGCTCACAGCCTCCAGAACATCTCAAAACTCACAAAGCTCAGCGAAGAGGTCGACCTCTCAAACATCGAACCAGAGACCCCCCTCAGCTCGACAGCAAAGGGAGCGCTCTTCTTCAGAGCAACCTGTCTTAGCTCGCCCATCACCTAGGCCGACAGTGCAATCTGGTCCTGGGCCAGGTCGCCCATCACTCGCTCGAACAATGACAACTGGAAAGGGTAACCAGGGTATGAGTAATCGGATAGGTGGAGGGTACGTAGGCAGAGAGAGGAACATGTCTAGTTCGGGGAGGCAGATTGCTCTTCCTATTGCGCCGAATCGGTCAAGATCAGCTACTGTTGGCAGGAAAACTACATCTGCGCTGTTCAGAGAGATTGATGACTTGGTCAGTCTGGAGGATAAGGGAAGTGCTAGTACGAATACAAGAGGGAAGGACGAGAGAAGGAAGTAAATGGGCATGTTGCGGAAAGTGCAGTTTAAGTATAGTACTCTTGGATTCCATAGAGAAGTCCATTTCTCTAACAATGGTCTCGGTAAAAAGTTCGGTAGTTTGATTTTCTCCGAGAAGAATCTCGCATGAGGGATATATGCGCGCCGAGTTCAATGGGTGCAAAAAGTCTCCCTATTCACCCATCAACGCGCACCTTTCCACAGCATCTCTTTGCCCACAACGGATGATCTTATATTTCCCGATCCTTTTCATGAAGAAAGACGTCATATATTAGTTTTCCTGTACTTTGCAGAATCGGGGCGATCGGCGGGCGTGCCACGTACCCGATGCGCGATTTACGGTGAGTATATTTGAGCGGACCTACACCGCGCGTTTTTCCATCGCTCTTCGATCACAACATCCACCCACAACACCAAATTCGCCTCTCGAAGCACACTTTACCTCGAGGCTCGCTAACTGCTGTCATGGGCTCTTGAGTGGATCCCACCGTCTACCCGACTGTTTACGCAGCGGCCCCGACCGCCGACCAGCAATGTGAAACTGACAAGGATGTCGCCACTGCTTCAGAACTTCCGGCACGTTTTAGGCCAACGTCGCGGATGAGGAAAGTATCATGCGAGTCCAAGAGTACGCTGCAGCATTTGTGGTCTGATAGAAAGATGATGGAATCAATAGGAGAGTCATGATAACTATGGTCGGTTGGGCTAGCGGACTTTTGAGAAGGGTGTTGAACTGGACAATTTGCTGGGTTGACAACTGGCTGGACCATTCTACCAACTGGACCTTTTGATTAAACTTTGGAACTCCGCTGGATCTTCTGGAAAGCCTGTCTAGTGCTTTTGGATTTTTTTTGATATTTGTAATTTACACCTCAGGTTGCGACAAGCCATTTCTTACGCATCATTTTTGGCGTCTCACGAGCAACACACTATGGACGCCTCGACACGGCTGTATAAACGACTGGGAGAGATACCTGAAGATCCCAATCACCCGGATAGTTTGGATGACCTTATTGTCTGCGCATTCGGTGCATTCGAGCGATATTATCTTTGTTGGAAAACAAAAGGGGGAGAGTACAAACAAGGTGGGTGCTACCGATATGACGATGAGAAGGAACTCTGTACTCACACCAGCAAGACGGCTATGGACTTCCACCTGCATTGAAAGACTGGCTATACCCGAATGACGGTACAACACGCGATTTCGGCTCTCTCCAGGTGGTTTTTGGTCGTGGGGAAGAGTACTTTGCGTCGGATAAGAATGGAAAGCTAGAGTATAAAGAGCCGGAAGTTAGGAAACCAGCGCCAGCAGACGATGAAGAAAAGCACGAAAAACAAGCACTGAGGAGGTCGAGGACGGTCTCGTTTTTACGGCCGTTGTCAGAAACAAGTGTGCGATCCGACAGTGTTATGAGCGAGACGAGGCAGAGTAAGAGATCGAGTTCGATAAGTTCACAGCGAGCGAGCCGGCCACCTAGTCTAAGCTATACAAATTCGAGGACAAACTCCGACATATCATTACTAGGAGATACAATCGTAGAAGGGCAGGCCAGCCAGTCAGTGCGCCCTTCTTACCTTTCGCAATGGAGTGCCATGGCTCCCAACGTCAAAGAAGAGGAACACGAGTTATCACCAAAGAACCAAGCAGGTCGGCAGTTTGAGTCGAATCTCGAGAAAGAGCAGGAATACATACAAACAGAGCCTCTCACCACACCTACAATGCCACCTCAACCGCAAACCACATCGACCACAAACACCAGACCAGAACCGACTCCCACCCAACCACCACGCACCACCATACCCTCACCCTCACACTGCACATGCGGCTGCCACCCCTCACCCCCCAAACCCGCCTACACAAACGCAACAACCCAAACCACCCCCCTACCCTCCCCACGCCGCAACCCCAGTCTCAGCATCGATCCCACACCCCCTTACTGGCAAACGCAACCCGCCTACCAACCACCCATCTCCCACGACGAATACTACTACGAAGAAGACGATTACGCCGCACCTCCCGTCCTCATGGGCCGCATGTCATCGTACTTTAGCAAGCCGGGGTATCAACTTGGTGATAGTTTGTTTAGTGGGTATCACCCGATTAATTGGGGGGCGCCTGTTACCATGGCGACGACGGAGACGGAGACGTATGTGTATCAGGATAGTTTTGGGGATGAGGCTTCGAGGTAGATGTTATAGGAGGGGGGAGGGGAGAAGGTGTATGTATTGGGGGGAGGGGATAGTTTTTCTGGATACGAAGACTAGGGGGGGAAGATGGTGTGTATATGTAATTATATGATTTTGTCTTTTTCGTTTTTTTTTGTTGGCATATGTGCGGTGTTAGCAGGTGAACCGATGAGTCTTCTTTGAGGATGTTGAAATGGAGAGTTTTGTGGTAATATTAGGAAGAATCTCACGCATTCTTTTTTCTTGTTCATGTCGTTTTTAGATGTAGGCTTTGTACCTATTCTTCTTGAGAAAAAATTCAACAAGGAAGAAAAAACGAAAATGGAGCAGATAAGAAAGCTAGGATTTACTTCACCATACATATTGTCCACCTGTACTATCTATTGTCTTGCTCTGCCGGTATACCTCCGCGATAATATCGCATCAGCTCAAGATAAGTGAGGCTGAAGTACACTTTCGTATAGTATAAGCTTAAAGTTTACGATATGTATTCTCATCAGACTTTTTATCTATCTAGATTGATACTGTCATAGTATGGAGGAAAAAAAAAAGTACCAATGAGATTTTCTTTTCTGATTCGACTTGGAGACTGAGGGGCGGCGGAGATAGTACTAAGCATGTGTACACTATACATCCCACTAGAACTGAGCCCCAGCTGCGAGCTGGGAATATTGGTTACGTGGAAATCTCAACATCAGGCTTCATCGGAAAGTATTGAATTTCATTAAAAAAAAAGAAGATCATTTGTTCGTTCGTTAATTCGTTCACATCGCCTAATGCATGCTTATTTTCCAAAGGAGAAGGCGGCGGGGTCGGAGATGCGCGATACCCTGACCTCCGTGCGTAAATACGCGCTGACGAGTGACGATCCAAGGCTCGTGTTGGGGGTGCCAACGTATGCCTGTCAGGGGTTCTCTTTTTTCTCGGATGATGGTGGGAAGTAGTGGGAAGATATGGGGTGCATATACTACGTATGTAGGAAGGAATCAAGGCAATGGCCGATGATGCAGGGTAGTACCGGTGTGGTGGGTAACGGACATGCGTATACGAAGTATGTACACAGTATGTGCCTGGCATACGTACGTGACATGATGTGAACAAACACAACGTCACTGGATATGCAAATTTGTACTGGAGAGAGGTGGAATGACAGCATGTGAGTAGATGAGGAAAGGGGAATAAGCAGGACCTGGTTGGTATGGTGAGTAGTGTAGTAGCCATATTTGCTGACGCGGAAGGCTGCATCTGTCAAGGCCGTGTCCTTGACCACTCAGACAACATCGCGCCACCCCGGATGGCTACGGTGCAGCCACACGAACGCATCGATGATGCCGATTCAAAGCCACAGTAGTCGATGGGGGCGTGGTCCCTGGCCATCGGGCGATATACCAGGGCCCCACGGCAAAGAAACCTGAAAGGTAATGTCAGGCCGAGCAAAGTACTGCCGAAAGAGAGCGAGTAACGCGAACACTCTTGTTCAAATCAGCCAACCGCACAAAGCGCATTACAAGCAGAGAGTCGAGGGCAAGCAACAACCGAGTCAGCTGGTGCAGGCGTATTGCGAAGCCAGCGCCGCCGTAACCCCCCACTCATTTTACACAACCTTTGACATCATACCCGCCTCACTGACGGCTGTATTACCGCTTCAGAAGTTGCGAGTGTGCACGTGTGCTCGTCGTGTTGCAACGATGATCCCAAAAGAAAAAGAAAAAAGGCCGGGTTTTGGGAAATCCAGGGACTCGTGATCGACTAGACACAAGGGCATTTTTCTGGCACGTAAAAGAGAGAGAGGTGCCGAGCAAGGGTCCGATCAGTAGCGATTGGACAAGGGTGGGTGGGGGTCTGCGCAACACACCAGCACCGCGAGGCGGTGGACGATTGTATTTCAGGTAATTTTTTCAGGTTGTGTTTGGAGGAGAATTAGTATGAGCTAGAGAGAAGGGTTGGAACTAGGAGTATTCTCCGACAACAGAGACAAGCTCAAAGAGGGAAATGGGCAAGTGTGACAAGTTCAAGGGTTGGAGGTATGTATGTAGATGAAACAAGAAGGATAATCTGAAGGTTGTTCAATAGGCACAGCGATTCCTGGGGCTGTTTACTTTCGGTGGTGTGTGTGTGTGTGTGTGTGTGTGTGTGTGTGTGTGTGTGTGTGTGTGTGTGGACAGGTGGGCAACGGGATGATGTCGGTACGATGATGGATGACGATGAGGGTGGGTGGGCTCAGTTTTTTTCTGGGTCAATGGCCGCTGCCACTACCTGTTCAGGCGCTGGTAAGCAAAACGGCAACTTGTAGCCTTTCCCTTTGCCTCGCCTCAATTCCACCAGGGCCGAGGGATGTCGACAGCCATGCAAACAAGCATTTGGGATGCGCACTGTTTCTCGCACCCCCACAAAACAGGCAGTGTGTGGTGAGCGGGCGTGTCCGTCGCGGCTAGAGAAATGCTGTCCAGGTGGGTTCCTTTTTTGCATGAGTGATTTTCGCCATTGGAACGCTTGTCCTTTTGCTTAAGGCGCAACTACCCACGCGGTTCGCTTCTCTCGGTTGACTGGGAACTATATCAGGAACAAGAAGGTCATTGCTTTTTAGTCATTTGCTGTTTGGGATTTGCTGTTTGGGGTTCGCAGGAATAGTTCCTGTTCGAGTTGCCAGAGACGATGATGCATGTAAGATGTTGACGATGGAGTGGCTCAGGCGGTCGGTCCTTTAGGCCCGACGAAACAGCAGCGTATGTCTGGGGAGGGGAGGGGGGAGGGGGCCATGTGCAACATGATCCTCTGTGCCTTGTGGCTACTCATGCAGCGGGCGTCGGATGGTGAGTGAGCGCGTCAGTCGTGGGGTGGTGAGTGGGCTGTGCTGGTGCCGTGATTGTGCCGCTCTGACTACCTCATCCTCGGATCTTTGCCAGCCGCGCTCAGCGAAGTCCTGTCCTGTCGCCGTAAGCGGTTACCCTTCTGGCACGACACCATGTCCTTGAGGTGCTGATCAGCCTTGACAGCCTAAAAGCGCCCGTGGCACATGGTGCTGCTCTTGTCGATGGTGGTGGTGCTGCTACTGCGGTTGAGTGCGCTGCGTCCAACTATCACCTGCCTGCGACCTCTGCAACCTCTGCCAGCCGCGATGGGCGTTGTTTAGCGCACGCAGCTTGACCGATTCATCGATCCAGGTCAGCAAAAATCTCTGCGTGTACTTGGCTTGCGTCTGTCCCGCGTTTGGCATGCAGGGCAGGTATTGGTAGAGAGGGGAAGACCGGCGAACCTCATAGCCGTGCAGCGACAAGGTGGCATACGCCCTGCAGCCCCCGACAATGTCACCCAGCCCCGTCTTTGCTCTAGAGCAACCACTCTTTGGCAAACGTCTCCCGGCCATCACTTCACACACACACACACACACACACACACACACATACACCAGCCAAGCGCGCATAACGTGCATGGAGACTGTTATTGGACTATGCTCTATGTAAATTCTTCAAAGGGCCCAGCGGTGCCTCGTCCAAGGGCCAGTGTCTATACTTTTGTAAAACGAAAATGCCACCAGCAACAGAAAAGAAGAAAACCCAAAAAATGCAGTAAAACCACCCGCCTCCCCAGTGTATGTACTAATGCTTGCGCTTGCATGCTTGTTCCACCACCAAGTTTCCCACCAAAAAAGGCAATGCTTGAAGTTCATCGTCTATAAGCAATGTCAAACGGAGATCAAAGCACAGGGTGTACGCCAGGTCAGAAAACTATACACAGGCGACCATAAAGGGTCCAAAGAGCACGGCCACAAGGGCCAAAAAAGAAGGTAGGGATAGACATTGCCTAGGCCTTGGTATCATTGCGCACCAGCAGCGTCATCAGTCATGGCGTCATCAAAAGAAACAGTCAGCCAACATGGGCTGACTGTTCCTTCGCAGGCGTCTAGAACCAATTGTTGTTGTTGTTATTGGCAAAACATGACATGTCAACATTGTTGCTCATGGCACTGAATGCACCATTGCTCTGGTCTAGTTGCCACGGGTCTACGGGAAGCCCGCTTTCATAATGGCTGCCCATTTGCATTGCGCCAGCCTCGGCAAAGTCCGACGAAGCCGTGCTCGTCATCGTTGCGGGTGCAGCAGCAATGCTCTTGGCATACAGCGACTCAAACCCAAGCATGTTGGTCATTGGAGCCGAAGTAGCTGCGGCCATGGACACGGGCACGTTGACGGGTTCACTGGGCACCGAGGGGTTGAAGCGATACGCAGGAGTATCTTCCCAGAACAGCGACTCGCTGGCTGCCGACTGGGGGGGTTTGAAGTCGACGTCACCAAACAAGCCACCCTCGCCAATTTCAGAATGCGTAGACGAAGCCACAGTAAGGCCTGGACCGCTTTGCTTGGACTCTCCGCTGTGCGATGTCGGCTGGGCCAGTTCGTCGTTGAACTTGCTTGGATCCAGTGGGAGGTCTGTTGCAGACCACAGCGGGTCAAAGCCAGCCCAGTCCTTGTCTAGGTTTGGGAGACAATCTTGCGAAGGCGACGTTGACAGGCTACCCATTGCAAATGCGCCAGTGACGGGCGTCATTGTATTGGTCATCCAGGGCCACTGCTGGTTGGAAAACGTATCGCTGACGTTGCTGTCGGGAGAATCACCGCCCTGAGCAAACATACCAACCTGATTACTGAACATGTCGTTGAAAGCGAAGGCGTCGAGACTGGTGCTTGCGCTTGCGACGGGAGGCTTGTCGGCACATCGCTGCGTAGAGCCAAACATGGCATGAAACTCGTTGTTGGACAGCGACAGGGTATCCATGGATCGTTGCGTCTGGACGTCTGGCTGGGGGCGAGCATGATTGTCTTGCGCCAAAGCAGCAAAAGCCGAGTGGCCGTGCAGGGTGTGTGGACGCGGAATCTTGTAGGGCATTCCGGACACATGGGCAGTGTTGTTGTTGCGATGGCAAGGCTTGTGGTGGCCGTTTGCAAAGACAGTCAGATGGCTTTCCGAGTGGGTGCCAGTCAGTTTGGGCTTGGCACGGGCGTCGTGGAGAGTCTGGCGGGAGGTATCCACCTTGAGATCAAGGTCATCCTTCTTGGTGCCGCACAGGCATTTTCCACCCGAATGGCACTGGCATCGGTTGTCGTGGGCTAAAAGTAAAGGTCAGAAACATTCGAGGACGGCCAAGCCAGCTATGAGCTCACTCTTCGCCTCGCTTTTGTCCTTGTGCGAGTCCTTGTCCTTCTTGTCGCCACAGTCGCATTTGGCGTGGTGGGACTTGGACTTGCGCGCACCGCGACAGTGTTCGCATTGCTTGACCGGACGGCCCTTGGGGTTGATATGGTGGAGATCACGATCTGTAAGGGGGGGGCAGGGTGTTAGCGCGGAGTGTCGAGACACAGGGTTGTGTCGCAGATGGAAGCGAGTGTGGATGTGCATACCCGTGTGATTGCAACCGCTTACTCGGTGACCCTTGATGCAGGATGAGCAAGCCCATTTTTCGCCATCGATAACAGGCATACCGGAGAGTGGTTACGGCCGAGAGCGGTCGTGGCAGTGGGCTGGGAATAGCCGAGTAGTGGGTGAAGCGCAAAAGTGCCAAGGGGCTCGAAAATGATGTACAGAAACAAACGGCAGCGCAACAGGCAGCGGGTGGCGCCGGCGTGCCGAGGCGAGAAAGGCAGCGATGCAGCCGAGGGAGAAGAGGAACAAGGAGAAGGCAACGAATAAGACGAAGAGCAGAAGAGCTAATTCAAACGCCAGAGGGTATCTTGGTCAAGGGAAGTTGGACGAGGACCGTGAACGCCGTGGATAGGACCGGAGGACGACAGGATGGAGAGAGAGGAGAGTGGAGAGTGGAGAGAGGGAGAGTATCAGAGGGGAACCGAGCGCAGGAGGCGCTGGCCGAAAGCGTTAGACGGGGCTCCTTGGGTACGACCAGACCAGTGTACTGTATGGTGTTGTTGGGGGACGATAGTGGTGAGAGAGCAGAGAGAGAGCGGGAGCAACAGGTTAAGAGCAGAGGCACACGGGGCTGTGGAGCGTGTAATTGGCTGTGGAGCTTAGCGTCATCGGCAAGGGCGCTCGGGCCTTTGCGACGCTGCGTGCTCGAATCTGCAGGCGCGATCAGCCATGGCGACGGCGGGCAGTTGTGGCCGGAAGGGGCTTAGCGCCAGGATCACACCCTGTGCACCCTTCTGGCCCTGTGTTGCTGCTTGCACTTGCTGCTAGCTGCTAGTACATGTACCTACTCGTCTCCTCCTCCTCGTCCTGCCTGTCTGCATGCAACCCAGCAGGTGGCCAGCGAGCCAGCGAGCCAGCCAACAAGCCAACACCGCCATGCCTCTCACCGCATCCCGGCGCAGGCCATCATCCATGTGCCCCTACAGTAAGTACGCCTGTGCCTACTACTATGCTGCCGTCCTGGGACCATGACCTGCAGCTGCTGCTTAGGCGCTCCATGGCCGCCACAACGCACCGGACCTTGTCCCTCCCCCTCGGTCGGCCATCTGACGACGCGTCCCCCCCCCCTCCCCCTTCGTGCTGCGCTGGCCCCTCGTCAGCCGCCTTGTCGAATGAATTATGCGGCACTCCACGCACCGCCTGTTTCACGGCGGAGGCTGTTCGCTTGTCGAGTCAGCCTGTTTCCCTTGCCGCTCATGGCTCCCCCGCCATTGGCTGCTCCCCGTCGTCTCCCCCCAGGGCCTGCCATGGATTCCAACCTGTACCTACTTATCTCTATCCACTATACTACACGTCCTCGCTCTCCTCGTCTCACACAGGTACATTGCCTGTCACCAGCTATGCATGCGCCCATCTCCATGGCTGTCCCATGCCGCCAGCCAGCCCTGCCACGGACGCGAGGCCGCAAATTGCCCTTGAATTAATTAGCACAATTACTTACCATCAACCGGCTGCTTGCACGTGACAGGCTGTGCGCTCCATGAAACAAAACCCCCAATGTATCTCTGTATTGTACACTTTATATACGGGCGCATGGATTTGAGTAGGTGAATTGGAGGGGGGCGTGGCCACCCTGACTGCCTCCCTGTGCACCTGCACCTGCACCTGCACCCACCCATCCACCCCTCGTGCCTCGGCATCGAATCGACTAGGCCATCGTCCGGTCGCTTTGAAGCTTTGCTCCAGTGTCGACGGCCCGTCCATGGAGCACATGTATAGTACACATACGTAGTACATATTCTAAGTAAGTGCGGTGTAGACAGCCGGTGGGCCGTGCTTGCCCTGGGCCCATGTCGGAGCCGTCTGCCCTTGCTGTGTGCCTCCGAGAAAGGCAGGGCCAACAGAGCCACGTCCTGTAGCCATCCCAACCCTCTGTCCAAGTACAATTGCCATACTTCGCCACTTACCGGACACGGTCCTCTTCTAAAAAAGCCTGGGGTCCAAGCTGCACTCCATCTCCCTCTGTCGGTCTCGCTGGCTGGCTGACTGTCTTCATCCATCTATGTGATTAATTGACATGTGCATCCATGTGCGTACTATCCCGCCCTAGCTTGCCCACCCTTCAACCCACCTGCCCCCTCGATCTACGCCTGCTCTAGACGCCGAACTATCTCGACACCATTGCTCTGCACGGTCACCTGTAATCGTCCGTCTTGACACCGGCTTCAATCGCCAACCTGCACTCGGTCCGCAATGGCTGCTCAAACTCGTGTTCTGAATTGCCATTGCGCCAAACTTTCTCTCCTTCTCTCCGTCCGCCGCGAAGTCTCTAACTAGCACACATGACCGTGCGAATAGCGCGCCGTGAGCCTTGCCATTGCCCCCCCCCCTTGGCTACTCGAGTCCTCATCAAAATGACTTGTTAGCAAATGCAGTCATGTGCTCAGTAATCGTAGTCTTGGCCGGCAGCATCCGCTGACGGGCCAAACTTTTGGCCCTTCTCCAAACAATGGCCGAGCCTGGTGCTTCCAGTCGCCGTCCCGGACGGTGGAAGAGATAATCCGAACAGCGACCACATCGTCACCAACCCAGCCAGTAGCTTCCGAGCAACACAGCGGGCAAAAGACGTGCCAATTGTCCTTGTATGCTCCACCCACCAAAATCATGTTGTTGCCGTCCCTCGACATGTTTAACCAGAACCTCTGCCCTCATGCCATGGTTCACGCTAGCGCAAAAATCGCAAAGCTCGCACAACTTCCCTCGGTCGCTTCTGAACCGTCCGTTTCTCTTGACTGACAACAGCATCCACCCGCCCTGCGCGCGATCGCGTACTCAATTTTAGTAGCTGTATCCAGAAAACCCTACAACTGCACCACCTGATTGCCATTCTCCATACGACGCGCTCCAAACATGGCTGGCTACGCGGATCCCGACGCGCAGATGGGCGGAGGGCCAGGCCAATACGCGAACCAGAATGGCACACCACCAGCGCCCCAGCACCAGTTGACGGATCCCGAGCTGCGTCTGCAAGAAAATCTGCAACAGCTGCGTGAAGGAGGAGACATGATGCATCCACCTGGCCCCCAGCAACCCCAGTACCAGCAGATGGCGCACATGGGCCCGGCAATGGCTGCGCATCCGCACTTTCAGGGCCCGGCCCGTCCGACGCACTCTCCACAGCAAATGGCCCAACACGTCATGAGCTTGGAGGGCCATCACGACCACTTCGACCCCAACGACCCTACCCGCAAGCGTTCAAAGGTCTCACGCGCCTGCGACGAATGCCGTCGAAAGAAGGTGCGCCACTCCCGGCCCGCACGTCCATGGCTGCTGCTTACCTCGAGTAGATTCGATGCGACGCAACCAGTGAAAATGGTCCCGAGGCGTGCTCTAGTTGCAAGAGGACAGGAGCACGATGTCAGTTTAGCCGACAGCCTATGAAGCGTGGCCCCAGCAAAGGGTATGCTGCCCACCACTCCGTCTGTTGGTGAGCATGCTGACAGTGTCTAGTTACATCAAAGAGCTCGCAGACCGACTCAACTCGCTCGAAAGCCAAATCCACCACCCTCCCAACCCTACGCATACGTTTGATTTTGGATCCATGGGAGATCAGACGTTCCCAGACACACAGAGCCCGCCCCAGTTCAAGCGCCAGCGAACCCATTCCATGACCGAGGGCTTCCACGAAGCCTTCAGCCGACCGAATTGGACTGCTCCCGACCGGTCCAATGGCCCCATGGATACGCACGGTTTGCCTGCTCTAGGCGATCAAGAATCATCCCTTAATGGCAATCGCCGCACCTCGTTTGGTGATATGAACTTGGGTGGAAGTCTGATCACTGGCTCCAACGAAGAGACCCTTAAGGCGTAGGTGGGCTCCTTGCGCTTTGAAATGGCCTGTGCTGACCATGCCCTAGGTACTATAACATCATACACCCCACGTTGCCAGTTTTGCCCCACCATGAGTCGCAACTGAATCGGCTTACCAACTGTCCATCCAAGTTGCGAGAGACTTTTTTCATGGCATTGGAAGGTTGCATCCGTTCACTCGCTTCAAAGGCCTTACCACCTCTCGAGATCAATCTCAACCAGCTGCTCCAACAATGCTTTACTTCTGTTGACGCAGCTAGCTACTGCTTGCATGACTCGGACAGCTCGCGGCAGTTTTATAATCACCTAGTATACTGCCAGTCAATGATTTTACTTGCTGCCGCGTCTGACCGACCTGGTCCGGGTATTGTTGGAAGCACAACAGGATTGCTGGCTAGAATTTCAGCCTCCATTGCCGACGCCGGTATCAATGATGCGCGGACCCTGACGACGATCAAAGAGCAAGACGTTGAGATCTACCACACAGCGCGACGTGTCTACTGGACTTCCCTGATACTAGATCGATTTCACGCGTCAAGCCGTTCCAAGGATATGATGATTCGACGATACAGTGGGACTCTTTCCAAGGATGATTATACGGCACTTGGCGAAGTCGGCTACTACCTTGCTCGTTAGTACAAGTCTATTCTTTTATGACCAAACACTACTAACCTTGAATAGGTGCCGCTCAAATCGTAGGTCGGATAGCGTACGTGAACCGCGCAGGCAGCATACCGAATGTTGACTCGTCAGCCCCCTTTGTCTTTTCTGCGCTCAAACCTGGGAATCCCGAATCAGAGTACCTTAATGCGCTGCTGGATGAACTCAAGCAATCGATTGATCTAACCAGCCTGACGCGAAACTCACCTCCTCATCTAGCATATCAGTATCTGCGAGTGTTCATAGCCAGGCTTTCCTTGCAAAACATTCCTTCTGTAGAGGTCCTTCATGCTACCCAAGAGCTTCTCAACAACCTGAAGAGCGGTGCAATAACTCCATTGCACCACATATTTGCCGCACTAGTAGCGACCTCGCTCACCGAATTGTCCGACCGAGTCGAGACTCAAGTAGACGCGCAATCCAGCATCAAAGAAATGAGCGATGCTCTATCTAACGGTCAGATCATCCATCGTAGCTCCGACGGCCTAGGCTGGGAAACTGCCATCAGGGATCTACTCCATCAAAAGAAGGCTTCTACACCCCCCTTCAACGGCCCAGAACAAGCCAGTCCCCAGCTCGAACCCAACATGGCCGGCCTTCAGCACCTCGCCGCAGCCGCAGTAGGCGAGCGTGAAGGTACCGGCGAGACTCGTCCGGGAAGCTCGTCGCAGCAGAAAGTAGACAATGACCTTTCTGCCGCCATGGCTGCTGCCAACGAGGCAGCCAAAGCACAGGCTCAAGCAACTGCTGCCGCAGCACAAGATCTGTTCCACTAGGCTTTTTGATTTGTTATGAGTAGGAAGTAGATGTTTTTCTAACCTTTTGATTTTCATGTCAATAATATACCCCCCAAACGTTTTTTTTTCCTGAAAACCCTATTTTGTTGAACACAATAATGGCTATAATTATTGCGTCGAGTATGTGAGCATGTATGTGTGTGCCGTAAAGTGACATGAGGCCAAAAAAAAGGTACGCTTACAATAATTCTGGTTTTCGGTGTAACGAATTTATATTCCCATACATATGAAATTAAAAATCAGGATTGGGTTGTTTCGCATTTACACAAATGGTTACATCTTTCATCATGTTTACGGCGGTGCCAGCTGCATATTAAACTCGCCCCTCTAAACTATCTTCCCTGTTGAACCCCCCCCCCCCCCCCCCCCCCCCCCCCCCCCCCCCCCC